CATTGTGATGATCACGATTCGTCGAAGTAAAAAGTGACTACGAGCGGCAAGATCGGGACCAATCAGACCACAATCACAACTAGGACACATTCCTAAAAGACGTACCTGACCACAATTACGTTCCAGATACGTCCCGAGATCAGCGTACGAAGTTCTGCTGGTGCGAGTATTCCCCCCTTAATTCAACCACAATAAGCAGTCAACGAGCAACCACAGAGACGTCAACACTATTTCCTATTTCCAGCCTCGGACCTCATCCGGGGCAAGGTCCCACTTGCACGGATTAAGAGATTCTGGCCGTTGATCTTTGCTATCCTATCTACGGTCAATATCGCTTAATAATTCGTGTAAGTGGGACGTAGCCCCCGGGCATGCATGGAGTCGGATCGGCGCGCAGTCTAGATACAGTCGAATCGGCGCGTAGCCCTCGGGGCCTCAAGAGCCGAATTGGAACTGATATCAGAGAAACACCAAACAAATCCGCCGGAAGTCGAAAAAATCTCTAGCTTGCTGCTGCTGACCCCCCAGCTCGATTAGCGTAAAACCCGTATAGATAAGGAGTGGGGGGGGGGAGTCCAGGCGCGCAGAAGAAAGGGGGGCGGGGAGGGGGCGGGGATGGGGGGGGAAGGAGGGGCTTGAAAGGGAGGAGGATAGACAGGCGAAGATAGGCGGAAGATAGGAATCGTACGGTAGCAGTTTGACCAGATACACAAAGCCAAAAAAAAGAAAAGAGAGAAATTTGAAGACGATCTCCTTATGAACACAACGAGGAGCAGAAAAATTGTACTTCGGGAAAAAAAAAAAAAAAAGAGTGAAGAAACAGAGTGAAGAAACAAGGGGGGAGGGGGGAGCGGGGGAAAGAGGACGAAACAAGGAAGGAACGAGAAAAGATTGAAAAAAAAAAAAAAAAAAAAAAAAAAAAGAGAAGATCTCCTGGGCTACCTACCCGACTTTCACCAACCGAGAAGAATTTCTTAGAACACGGCCACCGCGTGACTATGATGCCTGCATCTGGACGGAAACATGGTATACATATGTTGACGACGCCCGTGTACATATAACACGTAATGAAAACGTGGAGTCCTGCAACTTTCCTCTTCTCCCGAATACAACGCGGGGCCATCAACACCATCCACGTGCACGTGATGCTGACGGACGCACGTGTTCCACGTGCACGTGCTACATAACACCATCCACGTGCACGTGCTCCTGACGAATAGTGTGAGTCCATCTATCCGGATATATTAACCTTAAGATCCTGAAGATGTACCCATGATGACTACGTGTTCTATTCGAACATCATCCATCACCTGAACACGTTCACAGGATGACTACACGTTCTATTCGCATATTACCTTAACATGTTCACCTAATGACTCTATCCGTTCTATTCAAATTTATTTTTTCTACTCGAATAATACAAAAGGCGTAGAGAGTGGAGGAGACAAACGAACGTGGAGATCCTATCCCCCTTTTTCGTCTCTTCCCCGTCGTCAAACGGAACAAATTGGCGGGGTTGGCTGGGGGGGGGGGGGGGGGGGGGGGGGGGGGGGGGGGGGGGGGGGGTCGATGTCGCTTCCTTTGGACCTCACACTTTTTGGAAAAAAGGCCAGGACGACACAAAGAGAACGAAGAAATAAAAAAATAAAAAAATAAAAAAGGCCAGGACGACACAAAGAGAACGAAGAAATTAAAAAAAAACAAAAAAAAAAAGCCCAGGACGACACAAAGAGAACGAAGAATATAAAATGACCCCTTCCCGCCCCCACCTCAATTGTAGTCTACGACCGATTAAGGGCATGTACTCACACTACGGTAGCTCTATCTTAAACGTATCTGACCGAATTTACGGCGGGACCTTCAGTATCTGACCTTGATTACGTCCATAAAAAAAAAAAAAAAAAAAAAGAAGTGTAACGAAGTCCTAGTAGTGTGAGTACGCCGCAACGCACATGAGCATCGAAAGGCTGTGTGTACTTCCGAAGCTGCAGAGCCAAGGCTGGGTTCCTGAAACAGAATATTTAAAAAAAAAAAAAAAGGTAAACCGATTAAGCTATATATTGTCACTCTTCGGACGAAAAGGAGACTACCCTCTTCCCCCGAATACAACGCACGGTCATTATAGTTGTATTTGGGGCATCTTTCAGTCTATAAATACAGCTATAATGACCATGCGTTGTATTCAGGGGAAGAAGGTAACCCGACAAGAGGAGCGCACTATGTACCGCCACAGAAATACCGATCAAAAGCCCATGTGCGAGACGTATTATACACGAATATTGTAGACATATAGACATATATATATCGTCAAATAGAACTGCCCGGTAAACCGTAGGCAGAGAGGGAGAAGAGGACAACAAACGAGGGGCTGTGACAAACTGTTTCGTCGGAGTTTCACCGACTCATCAGGAGGCTGAACTATACATATATAAATATACATATATAAATATACATATATAAATATACATATATAAATATACATCTACATATATCGTCACAAACAGCTATTTATATATATCTATACATATGTCTATACATATATATATCATCCCTTAGCTATGGACTAGCAACCATTTTTCTTCTCTTCTGGTTGGTCGGTTGGTTGGGGGGGGGGGAGGAGGAAGGAGAGGAAAAGGCATATGCAAAATGGCAGTCTAAACGAGACAAAGAGGAAGCTATATAAGGGGGAGGAAGAGGAGACGTGGAACCTTCAGACGAGGGGACAAGGATGAAAAGGCCCCAGGAGGCGGTGTGGAGGGGGAACGAGCGGAGACCGGGCGGGGAAGCGCGGGGGGGCCGCCGGGGTGGGGGGGGGTAGATAGAATCTTCATATCATATTTGGCGCGCAAGATTTGCCTGCGAGTCGAGAATGAGCGGAGGAAGCTCTTCTGACCCATCATCTGCTTACCCCGGATTTACAACTGAGGGACAGGGGGGATTAAACGAGGATTGAAATTAAAAAAAATAAAAATAAAAAAATAAAAAAATAAAAAAAATGATGAAAAATAAGAAATCATCAGTCAGAAGAAAAAAAAAGAAATTAACAGTCAAAAGAGACGATATGTATATAAAATCTTATATATACATAAACGATATGTATACATTGTCACACTGGAAATCGGAGCGCAAAGGCGGAAAAAGACAAACAAGAAATAGAAAAAGAAGGAAGGAAAGCCCCACCTGTTCGTCACCTCTTACGTACAAGGCCAGCCACGTGGATGACAGGTTGAGCGCTGGCTGCCCCCATCCCCGTGCGTCATAAAGACCCACTTGCACGCAGCCAAAAGGCTGTATATATGTATATGACAACAGAGAGTAGTATACACTACACTGGATGCGGCCATGGCCATATTAACCCTTTTTTTTTTCTTTTTTTTTTGCGCCCACGATGATGGGATGATGAGATGGCGGTGAATGATCGGAGAAGGAGATCTCGACATACTAATTGCCGCGGCGATGACGTGGCATTAACCATTCCCCAAAAAAAAAAAAAAAGAGTACAAGACGAACCAGAGAATGTGTGACATCGTTCCTCCTTTCTATCCTCATGGCCCTTCGCTGAGATCACCGGATCGGGTCCGTGTGACCACAGATTCTCATCTTCTTTCTTGATGTCGTCATCATATATCACTTTACTTTTCATGTATATATGGTTTGGAAGGCCCCTCGTCCATATCCACGGATTC